AGCGAAATACAACCACAACGTTGCTGAGATATTTGCAAAACTCTGGACCGCAGGTGTCTATGGTGGGGAACGAACGCGCTATTGTCCTTTCCGGGGAGTAACGCGTTCACCACCACACCATGCGGGTCCTTTGTTTCGCACGTCTCTCAGCTATTTCTATCGATCTTTTTGCCACAGCAATCACCCGTCAGCGGGGTTGATCTGGGGAGCGCAAATCGGCATAGAACCCAGTTAAGCTATGGCTGTAGTTGAAATCACAATGTTTAACGTTTTGTTTTCTGCCTTCTATAATAATAGCTGAGAGACGTGCGAAACAAAGGACCCGCATGGTGTGGTGGTGAACGCGTTACTCCCCGGAAAGGACAATAGCGCGTTCGTTCCCCACCATAGACACCTGCGGTCCAGAGTTTTGCNTGCAAAACTCTGGACCGCAGGTGTCTATGGTGGGGAACGAACGCGCTATTGTCCTTTCCGGGGAGTAACGCGTTCACCACCACACCATGCGGGTCCTTTGTTTCGCACGTCTCTCAGCTATTATTATAGAAGGCAGAAAACAAAACGTTAAACATTGTGATTTCAACTACAGCCATAGCTTAACTGGGTTCTATGCCGATTTGCGCTCCCCAGATCAACCCCGCTGACGGGTGATTGCTGTGGCAAAAAGATCGATAGAAATAGCTGAGAGACGTGCGAAACAAAGGACCCGCATGGTGTGGTGGTGAACGCGTTACTCCCCGGAAAGGACAATAGCGCGTTCGTTCCCCACCATAGACACCTGCGGTCCAGAGTTTTGCAAATATCTCAGCAACGTTGTGGTTATTTTTCATATAGTCATTCTTATTTATGTGTGTATTCATTGGTTACTCACTCATTCTGTATGGAAACGCAGCCTGCGCATTATTGCGTTTTCTTCGCCTCGGTTAACGCAAAGTTTCTGCATCCCCAAGTTTGACGATTTCAAAATTATTCCCCTACGGTGGGCAAATTGCTACTAGGAAGACCCAAATCGCGCATTTGTTACTGAAGTAGTCCGGCAGGAAATAAGGTTCTAGCTCAAACTCCTATCCATAGTTCTCCTCTAGTCCGCATGGTAACAACTTAGTCTGATTATCTCCAAAATTGAAAAAAAAATCGACTTAACCAGCATTCTACTGTATTCATAAAGTAGACAAAACCCTCGAGCAGGAGCCGAAACAATGCGCGAAATCAACATGAATTCTTTCATTGATAAGCTTGATTAGTCATGTCGAGGTTAAAGGAAGTTAGTGCAAGAAGTGCTGAGATCCATACAGTAGGTGTGATGACTGGCCATGTAAAAACCAAAACTTTCTCTTAGGCTATCAACCCAACAAGATGTTGGTTGTTTATGCCGAGGTCAACTCAGAGCAAATTTTCGAACAGCTCACTCAATATTTCTTTTACGACTATAAATACTGTAGTGTCTCCCACTAGAATCGACCAAAAGTATTAATCTTTATCTTTTTTCCACTCTTTCTTATCTGTTTATTAAATCAGTTTTATGTCTTAACTGGCATGTAGGAGATAAGGATAAAGGATAAAGAATAAAGGATAAAGCTCTCGGTGTTGATCAATACCTGAGGGATTCGCCATGCATTCGACTTCATTAAGCATCGTTTTAAGATGATTGAATGCTTATCTGCCCTTTTACAATGACTCGCGGTGGCCTACCGATGCATTGAGCCAATGCTGCTACCCCTCAGGCAAGTCTGGTATCAATTTGCCGACTCTGGAGGGATGGAGGGCTTGGCGGACAATGGGCGCGGGACCGATTCCACATGTGTGTTGCAGGGCACCTCCGACCATTGCGCCACACGCGCCCCTTCCATCCCGCGCTTGGATAAAGAAGAAAGTTGAATTGCAAGTACACATATTAAGGATTTCGGTGTTAAAAGCCTCTTAAGACCTGGAAGGTTACGTCGACCTGTTCATAAACAGAAGAACATAGCGCCCAATGAAGACACTTAATTTGAAGCCGCGATACAAAGAACGAATACCCTAACTTTTTCGAAAACATGAATACTATCTAATATACGAGGTGGAACGAATGGAAATTGGGCACATTTTAGGAAAACCACCACAAAAATTGCTCCAAATGGAAGCGAACGCTGAAAAAGAAATGCTCTGAAGAATGCGAGCGATCTGATGAAGTAAGTTTGGTGGTCTTTTAATATAGCGCATAGAAATCTTATGAGTGAGAAGCGATGCAGTAGACTGAAACATAATCGAGATACATAAGACTTCAAAGAATACGTGTAGCGAACTGTCAGAGGTGGTCTGCAATACACACGTGATCTTCGATCCGATCCTCTACCGAACACACCAAGTCTTCCTTTAATCGGTGGGTTACAATTGGCACCAAATTATAACAACAATGATGCTGAGGTATCTGCAGAACTCGGATCCCCCTGCAACAACGAATCCGCGATTACCGTTGCCTAGGGCCCACGTGTTGCTCACTGCACCACTGAAGCCGCTGCTTTGCCTTTCTCTCAGCCAGTTTTTTGCGCTAACGGCGTCACCACCAATCTGGCCTGCGGCTTTAGCTCTGCAACTTGGGGTTATCTCAGCATCACTGCGGTTATATTTCACTTTTTGATCTCCATGAAAAAAAACACTACGTCGTAAATAAGAAGTTAAACGTTGTGGCACCATTTTCCGTGAATAAGAAGTTAAACGTTGTGGCACCAAAATGGAAGTTAAAGCACCGACTTGATACATTGGTAGGTTTTTAGAAGCAATCGTGTAGACAAAATATATGTTCAGTAATCTCCACGATTAAACTGAATGCATAGCGCATCCATTAGGGATTGATCGAAGTCAACGCTTTTTCTCTTATCCTTTTAAATATTCAGATTCGCACCAGGCATGAGGAATGCATAAACTGTATGAAAAAACGTGCTGGGAGTCGTGGAGCCAACATCGGTCGTAAAGTGAAGAGGACAGTGGAAGCCGTTGCTTACATTGCAGAGCACATGAAAGCCGAAATGAACGACAAAAAGGTTCCATTTAGTTCAGTCGATTATTTCTTTAAAAATGCCAGCGCTTGGTTTTGGAAAGGAGGAACTCGAGTACGAAAAGTTAAAAGAAATTTGGTTTCTGAAACTGAATGAGAGTCCACTCACTATTCAAAGGCGTTTGTGTGAGACCACAAGGATACCGTACTCCAAACGTCGTGTGTTTCCCTCTTGTCAATGTACAATAGCGACCACTTCCGCATCTGTAATTAAAACGATGTTTCAGCAGTGCATACCCATAGACTTTTGAGCAGATGTTCTCCATTAAATCAGTCTTGCTACAACTGCTTTACAACTTAACCTTTTGCTTTCCTATCAGCTTCCTCATCGCCCAATCTGGTTACTATCTGTCGTCTACAAACTTTTTATTCGAGTTATCCCAAACAGGAATGACAGAACACTAGACGAAGGACAGCCATGTGAGGAAGCAGGATTTCGAAGAGGATTTAGTACGATGGACTACATCCACACGGTAACACGTCTCAATGAAGTATCGCGAGAGTATAAAAGACCACTCTGTCTCACTTTAATGGATTTACAGAAGGACTTTGATTCAGGGTCTCTGTTTCAGTTTTGCTTAAAGCCTAAGTGAAATAGCAGTATTGCAAAGATAAAGTAAGCTAGAGAAGGTTTGTACGGTTTTCCGTATAATCCTTGACATTAAGTTTATTTAACTACTTAATTGTTGAAATCAAACCTATCGTGAGTAAATTCTGTATGACATAGTATTGTTTCGTCATGCTCCGTCTTCAGTGGGAAGGCTCTATAAATGGAGTTCCTCACAACAAGCTATTGGGAATCGACCCTTTTTGAGATCGTTTGATATTGTAGCTCAATTATTAGAGTTTTCTTGGAGATGAAATGTGTCGCTCTAGCTTTTTTCACTTCAGGCATTTGTTATAGACGTGAAGACAACGAAAATTGCTTTTTTTTATCAAGCTTATCAAGAAAGAACACATATTGAAAACTGCTTTGTTAACAGCGTATTCGGAGATGAACAGCAACATGATATAACGCTTGTTCTGAAAAATACAAGCTCGTTTTCTATCTTCAGGGACAAAATGGGCAATTTCGCTGAATAATGGTCTTCCTTTCATCGCAAAGGTGATCAGTGCTTCAGATGACGTTCTCAACTTCTTCAAAGACTCTATGGCTTAGTGCTTGACTAGTTTCCTTCCCACATTCCAATTCCTTATTCGCTTATTCCAAGTTGTCCGAATGCATCTATGAAGCAACAATATATTTCCAGGTTCTTCCTAATACTATAATTTCAGAAAGCAGATTTATTTCTGCATTTTCATGCAGCTTCCAAGAGAACTATCCACTTAAATAGTCCTGTTATATCGTTGAAGTTTAAATTTTATAAAATACGAAAAATGTTTCCGAGAACCACCTTTAGTTTTTTCCTTAATATTACTTTTTTGCTGCAATAATTAATGTTTAACCAACTGTTGCCTTTCTACCTAATCACTAATTTCTATGTCCATCCTCACTCCGATGTATTTCTCGTTGGAAGTCCAGTATAGTAGGGAGACCCCAGATTTTCACCACATTCATGTGCCGGCCTTCTTGAATCGGGCGGTAGTTTGGTACCTTCATGATTCTTTCAGAGAACACCGCTTCCTATTGTAACGTCGGTTTTGATAGGCTAAACGACGCCGATGTATAAGGGTAGGCTGCAAATATTTAAAGACGGCAACAAAAAAAGTGACGAAGCAACGCACCGCAGTGCACTCGTAGTGACATCGTTTGCACTTTTGAGTTTCCTCGTTACTATTAATAAGCCAATGTCTTTGTTAACGTTTTTCTTAACTCAGTCACTTTGCGTGCTAAATGTCAACCGATAATATAGAGAGTAAAATTGGGTTATATAACTATTATTATTATGTATATGAAACCAAGATGACACACTGAGCTAAAATAATCTATTCCCTTGCTGGTGCTATCGATACTTGTGCGTTGTAGATTCGAGATGACTGGAAGTACGTGGCGATGGTGATCGACCGTGTTCTGCTGCTTCTCTTCTTTGGCATCACACTGGGTGGAACACTGGGAATCATCTGCTCGGCACCGCATGTCTTCGACTTTGTCGACCAGGAGAAGGTCTGCCTTTGGGCAGCTGCTCGAACACATCTCAGACCATTTCATTATCCTCTTTCGATAAAATTCGGAGAGTTATAGAGTTTCTATATTCCTGTATAGATGAATATTTATAGATATAAGAAGAATTTTTCAAAACTAAAGTAGTTCACAAAAACTCACAATATTTCTTCCTTTTTCATCAGTTTTTTTCAATAGCTTCGATACGGCTTTCTGTACTGCACACAACTAATCGTGACTTATGGAAATGCTTAATTTTTTCTAGATCATCAAAAAACTGAAAGTCAAGTACACGAACTCAACAGAAGATGAGCTGCTTACCGTTCCGATAACGTTCTGATCTTCCAAGATTGTATTGTACCAATTGTTCACCGTTTAATAAATATTTAGAAAGTTGTTCTCGATCAATACTTCGACGAAACATTTCATAAACTTTTACGATCTCCCGGTTCGGACCCCTTGAGAAGCTGATGAACAGCCTTCCTTCTGTAGACATATGCTTCGCTATTTTGCAGGCGAACCCTGATTAAACCTTTTCTACAAAATGTGGCAGCATTAATTTTTTACTGTACCTCAAATACAGCGACAACGAAAAGCTCAACAGTTAGGGTGTTCCTCAAAAAACAATTACTATTGAGATATTCAATTTGATAAACCAAATTTTACACTAACATATGAAACGATGAGTAGCTAGCTACTTCTATTGTTGCAAATCCTTAAACAAAACAAGAATAATTGCCAGAATGCTAAGTTCTAAATCTTCAGCGAATTTCTTAAAAAATTTCTGCAGATCTGACTACAAAATGTTCGGTAAACCTATTCAGAATTTGCTTGCAGCTTTAACCTCACTGGTGTTGTGCTCGCTTGATGAAGACCGCCTCGTAGCTGATCTTTTCAATGGCTATAATTCGCTCGTTCGGCCAGTGCCTAACGTATCGTCTCCTCCAGTTGAGGTAACTCTATTAATCAAAATGTAGTGAGTGTTCCCGAGCTCGCCTTTCGCCAGCGCTGCTTTCCTTAGAAATCAGGATTTAACAGCTGATATTCCACTGAGACAGCAGTGCAAGTAGTTCATGGTGCTGATCCCTGAGGAATTTGCAATGCATTCGACTTCAGTAAGTACCGTTTAAAGGTGACTGTATGCATATCTGGCCTATGCAATGAATCGCGGTAGTCTAGCGATATATCACATTAGCGTTGCTACACTCCCAGAAAGGTCTGGTACCGATCTGCCGACCCCGAAGTGTTGGAAGGGTTAGTGAGCTTGGATCGCAGAATCGAACCTATTTGTATTGCATGACACCTCTAACTACTGGGCCACCCACTCACCGAGCTGTCAGTAGAAAGCTTCTATTCGAGTTTCTAACTGTTTAAATCTGCGAATGTTGACGAGGGGCAACAAATAGTATAAAGTCACAATTCGCGCATCACTTAGCTCTTTCAATTTTTCACGATGTTGCCTACGATGATTCTGTTTAGAGTTCAGCTTCAAGTTTTGCTTTTTTTAACAGCTCAGAAAAGTGAAACCTTCTCATTCAAGGTGGCATTCAGTTTGGCACTGGTTTTGCTCATCAACGTCGACGAGAAAAACCAAATTATGCACACAAATGTGTGGCCAACCATGGTGACTTAACTGTTCTGCCTTTCTTAATCTATTTTAAAACCTTTTATATTTTTTCCCTTCAGCGCTGGAACGACTATCAAATGCGTTGGGATCCAAGAATGTACGGGAATATTGGTGAGCGATTATGAAGGACGTAATCACCGTTTCCTAGATGAGTGAAAAGACTTTCACTCGAATTTCCACCTTATCCTAATACGTTTTTTTTCGTAAGGTGTTTCTTAAAATCGCACTAACAGAAATGTTTTGAAATAGAATAAGCGTTATTCATGCTCGGTTTACCCGTGTTTCACCGTTTCACCTTGTTGATAGCCGATCAAGCTACATCTCTACTCAAACGACGCAGGCAATTCCCCGCTACTACTTTAACGGTATTTTAACCGTTTTTACCGTAAACGCCACGGATACCTAGTTGAGCTATAGCGTAAGTTTATCCTAGCTGAGCTTCCATAAATAAATAACGAGTACTTGCTTACCTTGCTTACCCTGAATGATTTTAATGGGTGACAAATTCTCACTTAGGATAGATGGCACGACTTCACTGGTTGTACGGGCTCCAGCATAATTTCCAGTGCTTTGGAATGTTGCTGGTCTAGTCATTGTGGTTTGCTGGAGTCCCGAGGTCAGCCAGGCCAAAGCCTGCCTTAGACCGCCACCACCACAAGCAATAGCTGCCCTCGTGGCTTAGAGGGAGATTTGCCGCCATGCGACTACTTCAATACCAAGACGATGCTGGTTACTGGTATTGGTTTACTCTTAGATGGGCTGATAAATTTTTGGCTGCACATAACAAAAGATGGAAGATATATCTTTTGGCGCTGATAAACCATTGCAAAAAGTGTTATGTATCCGACTCGATTAAACACCTAAAGGATGGTTGAATCTATGCATTGCCTACATAAATGATTTGTCAGAACCTACCGATATACGAAGCGTTTTTATCCTCTCACAAAACATTTGTAGCAACTCGAAGACAGCAGGATCGAACCAACCATGGCGTGTATATAACAGGGCACTTCTAACCAAAGCAAGCACTTTAAGGAGCTTTTATATCTAAGCGAGCGTTCGTTTTTTATAAGTCAATTAATTCGCCAAATGGTGTCGTCACTAGCATGGTCGGCGACGATCCAACAGTACCGGTTCGCTCGCCCTCCGGTAGCTCATCCAACAAACAGTGAATGTTTGTCGGTCTGTGGCCGATCAGCTCGATGGTACAGAATTGGAGCAAAGATACTATTGCTACTACAAAACCGCTCAGAGACCTCTGGAGGGATGGGTTGTTTAGATGATTATATAGACCATCATTTGGCTTGCACATAGCTTCTATGCAGACGTGTCCTATTATTGCGCGAAAATCACGTGGGTCAATGTTAGAAACGTGTTGCGCTTTTGTAACAGGAAAAGCTGGACACTTGATGAAAATTTAGAACCCTCGCAATTGTGAGTTACGAGCAGCGGACAGATATTTCAATATTAGGGAAGAATAAATGTTGAACAACGCATTGGGTCCTATTGCAGAGACAATCCGAGTTCCACCCGACAAGGTTTGGTTACCCGACATCGTTTTATTCAACAAGTGAGCTTTCTTTTTGTAAAGTTTTTCGCCTACTGGTGAAAGATCGTCTAAGAAAAATATAAAAGGGATAACCTAAAACATATACTTGGACACTTTTTTCCAGCTCCATTCGTTCTTTCTAACAAATTTAGGCTAAATACGAAAAGAAAAAATGTAGAAGTCACTTTAAAACACTCGTTAGGGAAAAAATGTTGACGTGAGACTACTTGTAATAAAACAAAAACTGCAGTCTATAAAGGATATTGCAGACTTTACATTTATTTTTGACAGCGGGAACTTACACTTACTACAGTTGTTCTGGAGGTCGATAATAGGACTAAACGCTCATTATCTAAGTGAATTTCAGTGCTGATGGTAACTATCTGGTGTCATTCTATTCGAATGTGGTTGTAGAACACACTGGTGAAATGTTGTGGGTACCCCCTGCAGTTTACAAATCAAGCTGTATCATCGACGTAGAGTACTTCCCATTCGATGGTGAGTGTTTAAGGCACTTCAGAGCGCTGTTCAAACCAGTATCACGCTCTCAAACAGAACCAGAAATGAATTTGTATCAACGGTGTCCAAAAATTACTAGCTCATCTATTCGAAAGCAAGAATGAGTGATAATGGTCACAAGCATCAGTGTCTTTAAATAGTCAACAGTACGTGTTTTAACTATCGAGTAACTCGACTGTATATCAGCAAACTATATTCATTCTCATTTCTCGCCACTACCACTCGCTATGGAGCCACAAAAAACAACAGCGTTTCTTAGAAGGCCCTTTCATTTTTAGCCCTTAGTAGACAGGCACGGGCACATTTGCACAATTCAGCAATGACATGAGTTTACTACTAAATAGGGTGAGAAATGAGAATGTTGAGCTTCATCTGAGCAAATGAGCTCTTCCTGAGATGCCCATTTCATTATTCTAGCTAAGAATGGCCACAATGTTGGTGAGGCGGCAAAATATTAATGTTGATGGTTAAAAATAACTTTTGTAAAAAAAGATGAAGAGGACAAGAATCCATCTGTCTCAACAATCGTCGCATGTCGATGCCTAGTGCAACAAAGGAGTACTGAAAATACTGGAGTACTTAAAGTTCTCTGCAGTTTAATTACAAGCATTGATTTTTAGGCTGCGCTATAGTCCTAATCAGAACAGACACACAATCCACGTAGTAGTGGGACTGCTGGATGCCCCCATCCTTCTGGAAAATTAGTCTTGGTGATAAATTCTCTCCTTATTATGGAAAACGTTGACCGTCCTAACCTTTTAGGCTTTTTCTTATCTTTCCACTTGAGACAGTTAAATATTGTTTCATAAAGGATATAAGGATGAAGCTCTCGGCGTTGATCAATCCCTGAGGGATGCGCCATGCATTCGACTTCATTAAGCACCGTTGGAGGTGACTGAATACATATCTGGTCTTCACAATGACTCGAGGTGGCCTACCGTTGTATCAAGCCAGTGTTACTATCTTCCCAGACAAGTTTGGTACCCCAATTTGCCGACCCAGAACGGATGGAAGGCTTGGTGGGCCATGGGCGCGAGGACACATTCCACGTGTGTGTCACGGGGCCGCCTCCAACCACTGCGGCGCCACATGCGCCCTATTGTTTTATAAGTCACCTAATATGAGGCTCCCAATACCTTATAGTCTCACAGTGGCTCTTGATGGACTATCTACGGCGAGGGTTCACCTACCAAAAATGTTTATCATAATATAGTGAAGACAGTCTAGTTTAAATCACAATAAAATCACTTTTCATATACCATTTACTGCCTGTTCTCTTTTCATGGCAGACTATGGTGTGAAATAAAACTACGATGATGACTAGTAGTTTATACTACAGCTTCTTCAATTCAGGCTTATAGTCTTCAAATGCATCACGTTGACGGAAGATTGCTGACCACACCAATAAAAAACGGCTGCAGGAAAGGCGAAACTAAGGACACGTATGGTGTATTGGTGAACACGTTAACACTCTGAAAGTGTAGTAGCGTATTCGATCTCCACCGCAGACACCCGCGTTCCGGAGTTTTGCAAATAAATCATCACCACTGTGGTTATATGTCCTGGTTTTTTCATCCATATATCGAGCTAGTAGTAAACCAATTCCAAGAATCGGTCTCTGCCTGGAAAAAATCTGGTTGAAATGTGGCAAATCTTGCCCGACTCTCACGATACAACGGCTTTTTATAATGAGAATATGGGTACAGCTTTTATATGTTGTTTGGGATTACAAAGAAAAAGCTTAACAAGCCAGATTGTGGCAGTCGGGAAAGAAAAAGTGGGACAGTCAAATATCCTTTGGTGTCTGAACGGCCAGTTCTTATGAAGAACCATGAGCGTTACCACGCAGTTTCCATCCGAATGTTATTCTATTCTGTTGCTTGGGCAAGTTCACCTGATCAGGCGTAATGTTCATAAACTACACCTATGAACTACTAAGGATGTGTACCGATCTGCTCGCTTCCTACTTACCACTTCATACGATCATTTATGTACGCTTTAATTTTGTCCCACGACCCTACTTATTTTATTTTTCTTACCGTAGATGCACTGACGATTATCGACACCATTCTATATACGACGTAGCATGTGTACAAAAAAGTGTTGAACGGAATGTTTGGTACTACGACTGATATGATTTTCAGAACAAGTGTGCTCACTTACATTCGGTTCGTGGACTTTCAAGAAGGATGAGGTTCAAATATCGTACCTCATGGGGAAGCGGCAGGTTAGTAAGATTTGTCCCAAAGCGAAATATATGAAATTAGTATTTGAAACACCTCTTCTTCTATTATTCGTCACATATGATAAGTTGAGAAGTTATTTATAGTGTTAAAAGCTATGCAAATGGTTCTGGTCAACTCAGTAATGTAGTGCCGCTATATTTCAGTTTATTGATAAGATAACAAGAGATATTTAGCTGAAAGATTAGACATAAATTAATACATTTCTCTGCCTTCTCCGTGTTTATGGTTATGTACAACTGTTTGCCTGTCACAGGCGAAAGCTTAATGTTGTTAGTCCATGGTGAACCTCCTTAACCAGAAAGGATACAATGGATTCTGTAGAGGAGAATCTAAGAAAGAGCTACCATGTTAAAACTCGGTGTTTCAAATGCTTAGGGAGAAAGGAGGTGGTTAAACGTCCTCGCTCAGCTAGAGGTCAGCGATATTCACATAATTGAAGATAACCTTGTACTGAAAGCTTTCCGTCACGTTCCACTGATCAACAGAAGAACTAAACCACTATGACAACTAGTAACTTGTTATCAGAAGATGAACTGTTAAATCCGCACTATTGGACGAGTTTAAAATGTCTCAAACAAGTGAGAATCTGGCAAAGGTATCTCACGAGTCGAGTGATACTGTTGCTTGTATCACGGAGGATAAACTCTTTACAAGCATTAATCATTATATGGAATAGACGTGATCCTGGGTTTACCTCAGTGCTTAGCACCTTTCTGCCGATTACTGTTTTTTGAGCAATATTCTCGTAAACAGGGAAATCCACACCATGTGGAGAAAAAACTACTACTACAAGCTAGAAATGGTTTTCTATCCGTTCCTGCTCTTCGGAGAACTCTACAGAGCCATTGTGACCTCATCGCTTATATTCAAATAGAAATATGGTATGTCTGCATTCATTCGAGCGGCGCTCTGCTGGAGGAGATTTCTCGATACGGCGTAGACACGAGATCGAGAGTACGAAGGACTGTAAACATCATACCGACTCTGTTTTTGAAGTAAAACACGTTTACAGGCACTTCTTGTAATAGTTCCCACAAAGACTTTCTATTGACCTCGACATTAGTCGAACAATTTTTAAAATTCTTTTTGAGCAAATACGAATTGCTATTGTATTCGAGATAGATCTTCTTCAGTGTAACACCACACGAATGAGGCGACTGTGAACCATCGACTCAGGTCATCGGCTCTGATGAAGACGAAGACGCTGAAACGTTAGCCAAATAAAGCTAATTTATCAGCCTCGTGTAAGTTCAAGAATTCAAATATATGTTAATCAACATCTGTTTGAATTGTTGGGCCTACAAGAGGTTTTTATACAACTTTTATCTATTTAACGTTTCGTCATCTTCGTCTTCTTCAGACCAATGATCTGAATAGATGGTCCACAGTTGTCCATCTTCTCCATGTGGCGTCTTCGTCATCATATCAACTCGGATCTTCTTCAGAGGTCGATCTTTCAAATAAAGCATACTCACGCGGAGATGCTTTTTTAAATTGAACGGCGGATGTTGATAATGGTGATTTTCCAGTTATAACGATTTGTTTTCACCAGACAATCGATCTTGCAGAAGTTGCTATCATTATCACCTAGCATAGGGTGTAACAGCATTTCAGAAGGGACTTTCCTTTAAACTCGGTATAACTAGTCAACACGAAACCGAACAACTGTGGACCATCGACTCGGGCCATCAGCTCTGATGAAGACGAGCATATCGAAATGTCAGCCAATAACAAGTTGTATAGGAACCTCGTGTAAGATCAACAACTAAAACACATAATATGTTTATTAAAGAGGAAGATTCGATTCATTCGAATAGTGGCCTCATCGGTAGTAGACCGATCTGTTCTACAAAACCATGAAGAAGATAAGCACGACTATGGCGCCATTAGTGGCTTTCAAAAACCAATTGAGGTGCGATTTCTTCTGCCTCTGATCAAATTTGACGGCAGTTGACTGGAATCCAAAAAGCATCTAATCTAGAAGTTGCGACTCATTTCAGTGCAGTCCAAGTGGCAATGCGGTACATCACTAACTATTCAAGTAGTTCCCAATATTTTTGAAGAATGATTTTTTCAGTATTAAACTTGAAGTTTGCTATGAGAAAAATTGTATTCATAGAGATGGATTGCGGAAGTTTAATATATTCGTTCAGTTTAAAGCGCTCATTTCAGGTCGAGTTAAACGACTATTCGTTTAGTGGAATTTGGGATGTGATGGAAGTCCCAGGACTACTAATTGAGAACAGATCGAAAATATCATATCAGATTCGAATAAGGAGGTACTTAGTTATACATACCCTGCCATTAAGAAGAAAAAGGCAGTAAATAAAAGGGTTGAGATTGTGATTATAACAAAGCCTCAGCTTAACTGGGTTCAATGCGGATTTGGGCTCGCCAGATCAATCCCGTTGACGGGTGATTGTTGATGGCAAAAGATCGATAGAACTAGCTGAGAGACAGGCAAAACGAAGGACCCGGATGGTGTGGTGGTGAAGTGCACTACTCCCGGTAAGGGCAATAGTGCGCGTTCGTTCCTCACCGCATACACCTGCGTTCCGGAGTTTTGCAAATATCCCAGTATTATATAAGGAGGTACTTATTTTACAAAATTCTGGGTGAAAAGTGCTACTGAGAGAAGGCGGAGAAGAGAGAGAGAGAATGAGAGAGAGAGAGAGAGGTTTGCAAGGAAACTTTTTTATTCCGAGAAGCCTAATAAATTAGCCACAATATCAATACTACCGTCATTGGAGTGTTTGGCGCAGTGGTCGGAGGCGCCCTGCAATACACATGGGATCGATCCTCCCTTCCCTGATACACCAAGCCTTCCATCTCTCCGCGGTCTGCAGAATGATACCAGACCTGCATCAGAGGATAGTAGCACTGGCTCGATACGTCGGTGGTCCACCGCGAGTCATTGTATGGGCCAGATATGGTCTCCAAAAGATGCTTAGTGAAGTCGAATACATGGCGCATCCCTCAGAGATTGATCAACGCCAAGAGCTTCATCCTCTATCCTTTTACCGTCATTGACTTCATTAAGCGTTTTTTAAAAAAGTTGATAATTCAACCACAATGATGCCGACATAATTGCAAAATTTGAGCCCCATGCCAGACTGAACCGCGATTACCCTGTAAAGGAGCTCTCAGGTAACTCACAGCACCATTGAGGTCCTCGTTCTGCCTTTCTCTCAGCCAGTCCTTTTACCCTGACGGTGCTTTCAGCAATCACTCGTCAACAGGAATGATCTGGGTAGCACAAATCGAGACAATGTCATGAATGTTAATATTAATAACCATGTTATTGATAACTGCAAAAAATTAGCAACACTATTGGTAATTGCAGATAGAAAGCTAGTTGACACATATACGAAACGAAGGATGCGCATGTGGTGGTGAACACGCTAAACGCGGGAAAGGGTAATATCGTGTTCGATCCCCACTGCAGACATCTGCCCTCTTAAAAATTGCAGATACCTCAGCATCGTTGTGGTTGATTTCGCATAATACCCTGCCATGAAAATTGTAGTAGGCAGTAAATAAAAAGTTCATATTCTAATATCATTAATATTGGTCAGCTTTGCCGAACTGGAAGTTTTTCTTCTGTCAAAACGCATTGCCCGTGAGATTTCGTAACGCTTCACCCAATATTCCTGGAGACGCCGATTTTTCATCGTAACAAGACATTTATGAAAGATCTCGAGATTGACTATTGATTCCAAAATTTTTAAAACAGTTCCTCTATTTTCAATTGCATTTGAGTCATAAAGCAACGCGGAACTTTCTAGAAATACGGAAAATTTGTCTTCGGAGAGGCTAAAAATGGATAAAGCTCTCAGCGTTGATCAAATCCTGAGCGATGCGCCATGCATTCGACTTCATTGAGCATCGTTCGGCATTGATTGAATGCGTACCTGACCTTTACAATGACTCGCGGTGGCTTACCGATATATCGAGCCAGTGCTGCCATCCTCCCAGACAGGTTTGGTACCAATTTGCCGATTCCGGAGGGATGGAAAATGGAAGGCTTGGCGGACCATGGGGGCCAATAAAGATTTCACGTGTGTGTTGCAGGGCGCCTCCGACTACTGTGCCACACTCGCGTGTTCGGGGAGAGATCTCGTAATGTAAACCATGTTGGGAACAGTTTTTTATTCTAGAAGAGATCCACTTATAGCACTCACGAATCAACCTCCTGTTGCAAAATAGTCGAAAACCTTCATGGGCTACGTTTTCAATACAACTACGTTGCGAAGTTACTTTCTCATTCTAATTCCGAATTCTTCTGCAAAAATGTTCAGAAAAACCCTATTCTATACCGTGATTCTGATAATGCCAACGGTTCTGATGGCATTTTTGTCAATGATGGTCTTCTACCTTCCTTGTGAAGCGTCAGAAAAAATCACGCTGGCGATCAGTATACTGCTCGCTCTCGTCGTCTTCCTTCTTCTTGTTTCTAAGGTATAATTCGTCAACAATAAAGTAGATTGAAGTAGAGGAATTAAATATTTTTGCAACAGTAGGCAGATATCTTGTCAGCAGACACCACAACGCACTTTCCCCCATTCTTTGATTGCCTTCGGTTATTCTACGTTTTTCTTTAGTTCGATTTTTCAAGAACTGAGCATATTCTTCCGATAAATATCAATTTGATATAGATCCTTCCACCTACGTCGTCTACGATTCCTCTCATGGCAAAGTACCTCTTGCTAACTTTTGTGATGAACATGGTCACCATCATGGTGGGTCATTTTCGAAAGCGAATTTTTATTCCGACATCATCGGTCAAACGGCCCCTGCTAACGTTTCAGGTTACCGTGGTCATTATAAATGTCTATTTTCGAGGTCCAGCGACTCACACAATGCCTAATTGGGTAAAGTGGATTTTTCTAAAGTTGAGTTATCTCAATTCTTATTTGTCTAATTCTTAGACTTTTCGATATACACGGCCGGGTTGACATGCAATACTAAAAGACCATAAATGCAGACAAAAAACTAAATAAAAAATAATTTTTATCTATTCAATCTTTTGTATGACTTGAGCATACATATTTGGCGAATTCTAGCACTTCTTAGCTTTGTTTATTATCTGCCATCTCTCAGATTTGTGTCTGGGTCCGGCTTCTGGTTTAAAGTTCAAGAGGTTCTATTCATAAACGTTGTTGAGTACTGGTGCAGCTAATCCTTCCTGGAATGGCAGAATATTCCTAGGTCTTTACGATAGGGATAACTTGCAGCCTTTGTTGCATTAAAGAAAGTTCTCTCCAGAGAAAAGATGGAGGAGTTTGGCCGGCTCGGGCTTAGCCGAAACAACTAACGAAGGTGCATCTCTAACCACTTCTTCTACACCTCCACAGTAACGTAGATTAGTATGATAACACAAAAATTGTATGTAAAAAATATTAATTGACCCGTGATCTTGCTTAATGGACTAGGTGCGCTATTTCTTGCTTATCATCGCTTTAACTTTCGTCGCAACCTTGTTCTTCTATAACTCAAGCACGAGCGAATTATTTGCTTTTATCTTCAAGGGTAACTTCAAGCTTAAAAAATCGTATATGACTTATGCTATATACAAGTGTACGTCTTTTTTTAAAAAAGCAGTTTACATTTTAACTGGGTGAAACCTCTCATTTAGGTGCGGCAGACGTTTTTATAATATATGGCATCACCTAGAAATTAACCTAACCTACCATACTTACAAAATCCCAATATAGCATTCATTAAATCAATAATATCAATAATACAATAATACATAATACAAAATAATATCAATAATACAAAGTTTCAGCATTTACCAGTGCTCTTGATGATGCGTAGACCTGAGTCGACTGAACGAGAGCTGAAAAGGACTCGCGAGGAAAAACTGGAACGTCAAGCTGCCCGCGGAATATTACATGGCCTCAGTTCTGTCAAGTCAGATTGTTCAGGTGAAGTCGAGGTCCGTCGTTTCTATTCTATCGTAGTGCTTTATTTACATATTGCAGCATTCAAAATGAAAGACAAGCGATACTACGTTAGCAAGTACATTCTAAAAAACTGAAAACAAAGGCAAAACAAAACCTCGTGTAGGTTTTCTTTGTCCCAATCATGGACTTGCATGATGTTGTGAAGAAAATTTGTTAGACAAACATTTCGACGCCTTGGCCTTTTTCATAACCGGAACTGTACTGTACAAAAGGGAACTAATGAATAATCCACTCCACTTTACTATCAATTTGGTGCTACTACGGCTACTGACATCGCAAGAACAAGCAGCTATGGACAACCGACTGGAACTATATCTGCTCCGAAGAAGGCGAACACTCCAAAACATCAGTGCATAAAACTCTAAAATTATCCTTTGCTAGGTTATCAATGAAACAAATTGCTCACCATTTGTACGAGTAGCAAGTGACAGTCGGTTTACATAAAATAGTTCTCTTTAAGTCTGGAAGTGAGACGCCTACATCGCCTCTTTAATGAGTAGCACAGAAGCATGACTACATTTCTCGGGTTTGAACACATTATTGAGTAACACAGTCTTTAGTTCCAACCTTGTCGGTAACAGTATAGAATTTCATGACAATAATGCAAAAGCTAGAGTAAAAAAATTTGGTTGAGAGAAAGGCTAAGTATCGGCCTCAGTGGTGCAGTAGGTAACACGTGAGCCCTCGGAAAGGATAACCGCAAGCTCGAAGCTCATCTGTGAATCCGAGTTTTGCACATATCTTATGACCATTGAGATTGTATTTCATATAATGCTCTGCAACGAAAAAAGAATGTGCAATAAACAAAAAAGCTGTGCGAATATTAAAGGTTGTCCTCTCTGATATGTGGACATTTGGAATACTAAATTTTGAAAGCCGTCTTACTCGTAAAACTCGCCATGTGTTTCCGCGAAAGCCGTTTTTCACAATGCAAGCTACAAATTATGCTGATGGAGGTTATTCGTTGATTAATTTTGAGCACAGTTCCCTGAATGTCACAAATTCAAAATAAACATCTTCTTTTTCAGTGCACACAACTGTCTGAACCAAATCGCACTACCGATGAGGTAAAATCTTTTCAGACCAATTTTAACAAAGTAGTTTATGCAAAAAACGGCAGAAAAGAAAATGCATCAAGTATGATGCATCACTGCCTGTTCGTACCGAAATGGGTGTGCCTTGCTCGATGCAACTCAGGAGCAATGGGTTATTGAAAGGGGGCCACTCGTGCAAATAGACCTGTAAAAGGCATCAGTATGAATCATTGGCCATTTAAATCGTGGTGTCTCTATTTTCTTACAAAGAACCTTTGTGAGCTAAGGTGTAAATTTACTGCCAGAATTTTACCACTTTGCTTTGACAGCATTACCATCGATGTGATAAGTGAGCAGTCCGGCAAGGAGGTGCCACACCACCCTTAACACCGTTGGCCCGTTCTTGTAAAATTATAAAATTTACTTTTAACATAAGTTTGCTGGTATGGCGATTAATCAAAACTTTCAAAATAAGCAAACAAGTAAAACATAACGTTCATTACATTGTGCGACAGAATGCTTTCTAGGTGACGGACACGCATGATGATTCTGATCTGTCAAAGGAGGCTAATCAGGCTATTGAAGCTATTGAATATATCACTAACCATCTGACTAGGGACAATGACTATAAGCGGGTTCGCTTTCTAGCTTCGTTTTATACAACACATACAGTCGAACAGAACAAATAGCCAACATTGAAGAAAGATAAACTAGTCGCACTGTGTACTTTTAGAGAGGTGGACTGTTTAGTTGAAATCGTAATTTCGACTAATTGACATCTTACTTGGCACTCAAGAGATCTACATGTGCCTACTGCAAATATTTCTCCATCAATGTCATTGTGCAGTGGAACGTTCTGTCTATTTCAGACTGACATTTTTCAGCAGTGTGACGAATGGAAGTATGTCTCCATGGTACTTGATCGTCTCTTACTGTACGTTTTCTTCGCTGGTTAGTGCCTTTACAATGCCGCTTTGTAAACAAGATAAGTAAGTAAAAATAATTCACTACAATCTCGAAGACGCTTAAATTTCAAACGCCACATCATCGAACGACACCTAAATGGCTCGAAGGGATGCTGTGGATTCAATTCATCAGGTCCAAAATGAAATGTCGTGAAACCTTTTGGTACCTTCACCATCACCAAGACTCTTTATGTTAACTCATTGATTTATCCCGCTAGAAATTGCCATGGAGCTTGTACAGACAAAAGAACTCCTCCTATTCGTTGTTAGTTCTAGACTGTTATGTTCAGAAAATAGCTCTTTCCCTAACTGCAGCATCGTGGATTTCAATTGTTGAAGAATACCGTTCCATTGCAACTGTTCACATTGCCACTATGTCTTGGCGTAGCGTAGAAAAGGAAAATAATCGCATCTGTTGACTAAGCAGCACGAAAAAAGAAAGTAATAGCAGTTCTTGATTAAGCTGGGACGTAGCTATACTTAAAAATCACAGGTAGTGAACTGCCTATTGACAATCGCAAGTAGCCTTTAAACACGTTGGGGTCAAAAACAAAGGCAAAATTACAGCCTACAGTGGGCTCGAAGCTAATGATGCAACGTCCATGGCGACAATACTCTACTAGTACAAAGAAGCAGAAGACACGAGTAATAGTAAGAAAAGTCGGAACTTGTAAAGTTCTGTCGAGCTTATTAAGTTGCTTTGCTAAGAAAGAGAAGCAGTGAAGCCAAATTTCTTCACAAATAGTTCACCGCATTTGACGATTAGTGCTGCTGGAAACGTTCTTCTCGAAAACGGCCTCATATTATGCCTAGAACTTTGACCTCATGCAGCCTGTTTTTGATTGTTTAGGTTCTGCTAAAAAACTTCTCCTCATTGCAAATACCTTGCTGAATTCGATTTCTGGCTCTCCTAGTCATAGGGAAGAAAGAATTACTCCTACAATCTAAGTATACATGTTTATAAACTTTTATATGCAAGTGTGAGCTAGATATATAATCCACAGTGCAGCAAAAGAAACAACAAAAAGAAGTTATGATTAAGCTTACATCTAGCAACTACTGGTGGTACTATGGGCGTGCTGTTTTCGGCTCCGAATGTGTTTGAGTACGTGGATCAAGCCGAAGTGATCGAGAATCTCAAAAGAGCAGCTGTTGCACAGCAACACAATCCTGGTCTTTAGTAAGACAACGACTATTTATTGGCTTAGGTATGTGGACGTTGCTACTGTCATTCTTTTCTGAGAATTTTCTAGTCGAACCCTAATTACGAAAAGAACTATTTCCAACTAGGTCAAAGCAGTTTGATCAAATCCTTGCTTGAGACTGTAGTCTGAAAACATTTAAATTTATTAAATCGTACCCGACAGTTCTGATTTAACGAATTCTTTAGATGCCTGCGGTAGACATTGTACGATTGAACAGAACTTCTTGCGTAGGAATCAGTCTTCTCCTCAGTGCTTATAATATCACTGAACAAAAGTGCAAGCTTCTCATTAGCTTTCCTCTTAATAAACTGTTTATGTTTTTTATCTCGACGACGAACTAGCATAAAAGTGAAAGCTTCTCATTAGTTTTGTTTTCAATGAAGTGTGCATATTTCCCTATTTCTCAACGATGAATCAGTATGCAGAAATCATTCCTTGTATCACGGTTTAGGATTGTACTACAATATTCCTTACTCTCCCACGACATTTATCCCTGCAATCTATAAATTGAACATTCCCAGCATGGCTTTTATATACGACCCCTTTCACATCTACTGTGTGGGTCCTAGTACTTCTTGCATTCGATTTGTTTTCCTCGCACTAATCGATCATGAAGGTTTTCGAGTATTTTGCATCTTTCGGCTGCTGCTTGAGTATTCCGCCTTTCTTAAGAACTAAATCTCTTCGTCTTTCGTCTTTCGATGTTTCGGTGAATAGCCAGGCTAGGCTATTCTTAAGTGGATTGAGGATTACCGTTGGGAAGGCGGTCGAACTACCACCTTGCCGCCTGACAGGCTGCATCGCTAGCACCTACGGTGCCCCAGCCCTGCATTCATATCATATTTTATTTTTTTTATTGATGTACGACCCGTCATTTATGTCTAATGAAAGGATCCCTGCTTTTCTCACATTCTAATCGTTTTTTTACGCGTGACTTAGCTTGCTACTTGAGGATTTTCATTTCATCTTAGATGTCGTAAAATGCTGACAGAGTCGATGCACACTCGAGTCCTGAAACAGCTCTGAGGAAACGTTCCCAATTAGACTGCAGAAAACGATTTTTACAGCAAGAGTCCGATACCAATTTTCCAACCCTGGAAAGATGACATGATTGGTATGCTTGCAGCAGGATCGAACCAAAAATGTGCTCGTGATGACCGACACCACTAACACTGTGCTGTGCGTCCTCGCGGTATGAATGGATCTTAAAAATGCCGAGATTTATTGAGAAACAGAAGCTTCGCCTCCTGGTTAGTGGCAATGAACAACGTCGCAAAACAACGTTTTTATTTACTCTGTGGATTCGAGACATATCGGAAATATTTTCATTCTCTTTGTAGAGCACGAATTACTGTAATATTCCGAACAATTTTGTGAAGTTTACCTCATACCCATTTACAAAATTCCCAAAAGGAAAAAAGTGTTCATGTAAAGAAGCAATGATATAGCTCAGACGATAGGTAGCACAATGATAGTGATGCAAGTCAGCACAAGCACCGTAATGGTTCGACTCCACCCCATACTCATATCCTTATGGGCTCGGAAAAGCACTAGACTTTCTGAGTGAAAATTCATTTCCTTCAATTTAAGTGGGAACGCTGTAGACTGGCCATCCCAGGATTCCATGGGGAATCGATTCGACCAGTGTTCAATGATATTCGTAACGAAGAGGAAAAAACCTCAAACAGCTGCCAACACCATTTGCGCAGACGTTTTTGTTTGACGGATGTGAAAAAGACCAAGAAGTGCTGAGACCTGCACAACAGATGCGAAGATGGGTTTCCTGAAAAGATTACCTACACACACATAGCAACAGAATGCACGATTTAATGAGGTTGACCTTTTCTCTTTCTCTTCATGTCTCTCTTCTCTTCCCTTTTTCTCTTTTTTCTTTTCTTTCCCTCTCTCTCCCTATTCTCTTCATCACGCTCTTTCAAGGGGCTTTCAAAAATTGACAAATACTCATAACTGCTCCAATGCACTGAAATCGTTAGTAAAAGGCAAACGATTTTCTCGGTTAAATGCAGTGCAGTTAAATGCACAGATGGAGTCAGAGATATCTCCTTAGGTGGAGAATAATGGTGATGCCGAGCATCGTAGTGGTTTAATCCCGCTCTAGGCTCAGAAAACCTCTTATTCCTCCAGGCTTGGGAAATTGGTGCCGGACTCGCTCAGTCAAAAATTAATCTCTGTACTCTAAGTGGGAATGAATCTTCTAGCCCAGCTCTCTCAAAACTCCAGAGAGAATCGAATCGACTAGCATTCTACGAAATTTAAGATGAATTTAAAATCGCCGAACAGCAGCCAAAGCCACATGTAAAAGTTGGAAGACCTTAGAGAAACATGAAGGTGACGAAACGATTCGAATCTGGAAAGCGCTGTGATCGTCACAGTAGATGAGAAAGACGGATCCTATAAAATAATAAGAAATGTAAGCAGCTGTTATATATATGCTCTTACAAACTGCCCAAAAATTGTGCTGATGCGATATTGGTATAAGCTGTCTTTGTTGCTGTTGCTGTTGTTGTCGTTGCTCGCTGGCTGACGTTTCGGTGAACTCGCCTTCCTCGGAGCCTAGACGTATTTTATGTAACAATACCTTAAAAATTCGGTGGCAAATCTATAGTATTAATGAAGATCTAAAACGTAAATAAAAGCCAATTTGTTCAAAAAGTACTCACCCTACTGTTGCGAGTGGACCACTCAAGTGTTATTCAAGTGGGATAACGAGCGAGACTCACCCCGGTCAAAAAATTTTGAAGACGTCAAGTCACGTGTGATAGTGAAACAGTCGACTTTCCGGTTCATCTTTCGATTTTTGAAATTTATCCAACAAATTAGTTCGAGACCGCCTGTGTGATCGTTTGTGCAGCTCAGAAAATTGTATAACTCGTCCTAACGGGAGATTTGGAGATCACATTAGTTCAGGTACAATATACTTGTTTCCGTGTAAGGAATGCAGTGAGGAATACATTGGGAAAACGAGTAAACCCCTTTGTGCTCGCATAAAAGAATATCTAGGTGGGAAAACTAAAATTCGACAAAGTACTTCTCTGGGGACACATAGGGCAAGGAAGCACAATGGCGATGAATTTGAAGTGACTGTCCGGATCCTAACGCAGGAATCAAAAACATCAACGCGCATAACTCTTGAGGCGTTTTGTATAAATTTCAAAAAACCAAAGATGAACCGCAAAGACGAATGCCTCACTATCACATTTGACTTGGCGCCTTTTTTCGAATGGGTTTTTTGATCTGGGTGAGTCTCACTCGTCATTCCACTTGCATAACACATAGATGGTCCCACTCGCAACAGTAGGATGAGTAGTTTTTGAACAAATTGGAGTTTATTTACGTCTTAGATCTCCATTAACACAATGGATTGATCACCGAATTTTTAAGCTATTGTTACATAAAATACGTCCAGGCCCCGAGGAAGGCGAGTACGCCGAAGCGTCAGCCAGTTAGCAACCGCAATAACAGCAACAGCAACAACGGCGACGACGTATGTCAACCTCGCACCAGCTTAATAAGTGCAGTTCGTTGAAACATTATATATATATATATATATATATATATATATAGCGACTATTTATGCCGAGGTTCGTAGAAAGTCGGTCTCGTGAGTATCTCTTTACATCCTATCATTAACAGGATAGCCTCTATCTATCGCTAGAATAGTACACCAACACCAACGTAATGGATTTGAAGAGGATGACTATTCTCTCCAACGTCGAATACTTTAACGGAGTGCTCGCACCGATACAAAGACACTTCGTACGTTAATATTCAAAAAACTCCTAGAAAATACTCAGAAAACTACAAACCGGGTCCCCGAACTCAGATTGCGTAGATAGCTCGTAAGAATAGTGCATCCCAGATACGAGTTCTCACTGCAAAGGAGGCAATGTGCGTGTAAGCATAAGTTTGAAACAACCGCCTTAAGTGTATAATCATAGTTGCCTTACCATTAACCACTAAGGAAATTGTACAAAATTCACGATTCCAAAAATTGTTCGCTATTTAGATGAGAAGAGGAAGGGAAGAAAAATATTGCATAAATGAATGCCGCATGAAATCAATGAAGAGCAGCAAGTCTGTCATCAAGAATGTGCCCTGTTCTTTTTTAACGCAAGAAAAGCGACTGATTTCCTGACTGTGTTGTGATGTGCGATAGGAAGAGGTATCCTGTGTGACAACCGACGATTTTTTTGTGTGAGCGGTTATAGCGACTATTTCATCTTCCGTGAAAGGAATCATATCATGCGAGATATTTAATCTTGGTGAAACAGCGACACGAGAGAATAAATTCCTAAAAGTCAATGAGATCCTGCAAAAACTTGAGGCTTTGTGTCCGCGTATAGCCAAACGATAAGGTTCAATCCTCTTGAACAACAAGGCTCGATTACAGGTCGGGCAGCTAACCCTGTAAAACATGAGTGAGTTGGGCAACGGAACTCACCTTCACACCCCATACTCATTCATGCACCACTAAGTTGTTGGTAAGAACGCCTTTGAGAAATTCAAACCCCTTCAACTTTAGAAGTTATGGAAGTAAATTAACTGGTGTTTTGTTGACGGAACTGCATAGATTTCAGCTGCTCTTATCAAGAATAATACAGCTGACTCCAAGCTTAAATACAGCAACAATAATGCAAATTACATAATCTGAAACCGCATTTATTTTTGCACCACGTCATATTTCTTTCAGTGTTTTATCGCGCAATTTTGGCGTGCCAGTGTTTTCAAATGTCCAAGTGTGATTTATCCAGCATAAATTTCACTAGCGGACTGTTAGCACAGTGGCAGTGATGCTCCACTTCGGTCTCACCGAGCCTGTCATTCCTCCGAGGTCGGGAAATTCGTGTTGGATTTGTCTGGGAAAGATTGGCTCTTTGTAATACATGTGGAAGCATTCCTTGCCGGCTATTCAGAATTGAAGGGACAATGGACTCCTCCAGCATTCAATGACATTCATGATTAAAGGATAATCCACAAGTAGCAACCAAAGCTACACGTTAAAAGGTTGGAAGAATTTTGTGGGTGGCTGCATGGGAACGAATTGAATGGGAAAAATACTAGAATCCGCACAGTAGGTTTGAAAGACGGGTCCAGTAGAAAAACAGAAACGTCACCTAACAGGATCACTTCTGATACAAAGATTTTGAACATTTAAGGCTTGAATTCTAGCTGTTATCCTGGATAGAACCTCCCCATTTGGAGACAAACCTTCCTGAAATTCACATTTGCAAACACTGGTTGTAGAGACAAGCCGAGTGTGTTCTAGAACGACTATCTCTTAGATCCGAAGAGGAGAACTTGTTCAACCAGCAAATCACAGGTCGATGGGAAAATTGGATGCTTTTTGGGATCACAGGCTATCCGAGAATACAGAAAATTGACCATAAGAGCATCAGGAGAGTGCAACTATATTTAGTTATTAACAATTCACAATAATTCTACATTGTTCCACATGAAGCAACAATCCTCAAGCGCTTTGATACTTGTCCTGTTATTAACACTTACTCAATGTTTACCACCTTTTCGATTAAGAAGTAGGTGTGTAAACAGAGAGAAATACCTATTACAATGTATTTCTAGGTTAAATTATCAGTAGTACGGAAATGAAGAGGCAGACACTGAAAGACAACCAAGTGGAAGGCTGGAATGTATGAGAAATCGGGAAAATATGATATGAATGAAAGATGACGATAAGAAAATGTACATGCAAAGGAACCACAAGCGCTTGAAACAACCGTCTGGAGCAGAAAGCATTATTGCACCACTGATGTTTTTCCTGGGCCGGAAGTACTTCCAGATACCAACGAAACCTATTAACCAGTGGCGATCAGCACAGCGATGCACTTGAACCGCATTCAAAACCAACAGTGATTTTTTGAGCCAATGGTTCGATTGCTCCTTCTTCCTCAGTCCAACCAGAACTTTCTACGACTGTGTCCTGCAAACCTCTGCATTCATTCAGTAAATCATTCGACTTCTAACAGTCACATCAACTACTAATGATAAGCTAACATATTCTTATCGACGATGAATACAATAAATAACCCTATATGGCACTATGTTCTGGAGCGAGGCTTCTTCTTATTTCAACACCATCCACCAGCAACACTTTTTGAAATTTCAATGGAAATTAGTGCGGGCTTGGAACACCATTCTGTTTTAACGTAGTTGAAAGACGGATAGTTAGTTAGGAACAGTTAGATGTTTGACGTAACCTTAACGTAATTTTCTGCATTTGCAAAGCCGGCTTTCCTTTATCCTTGGAATTACCGGGCAATATGTGCCCTTTCACTGGTGACATACAAGTTTCGGCGCCTTCGCCTTGCTCACATGCGGATTGATCCGAGTTGGTTGTCCACAGTTGTTCGTACTTCTCGTGTAGTTAATTGTGATCGAAATGTTATACGTTTTTCAAATATTTTCATGCTCTTTGGTGGCTGATAATGATGTCCACTGCTGCAGGATGGATTGTCCATTGAAAAATAAACAGTTGTCAATGGACAATTAGTATCAACAACAAGAGTTCTGTATAAAAGAGCACAGCCAAGTGATGTTACATCATTTGAGCAATGCTTCACTAGGTGAGATTCGACTCGATACGACGACGAAGATCCACATCGGTGGAACGAAGAATTGTGGTCAATCCACCCAGATAAATCCGGCTCTGAGAATACCGAAGGCGCCATAACGTTACCCGAATAAAGGGTTTCATCAACCTCGTGTTAAATTATGAATGAAAAAGTGGTTTTCTACAATAATCCCTTCTCCCCTTTCACTTAATCCCACTGTCGGGATTAAGTACATACCAAAAACTGCATAATTACCGCTCACTTCCACCATTCAGCAGATTCCGTTTGAAAATACCCATCACTATCAGCTTGCGTCCTAGTCAACCAATGCTCATCGCCATTATATTTTCATAATGTCTTGTCAAAATTTACGTTATTGTCGCTTTAAGGTGTGTGGAGAGCTGTAGTTTGAGGTGCTCCGCAATACACAATTGATTATCGCTTTGACACCGCACCCTGGGCTCTCAAGCCTTCCACCTTTAAGCGGTGAATAAATTGGTAGCAAACTTGTCTGGGAGGATAGTAACACTGGATTGATACATCGGTAGGCTGCTGCGAGTCATAATACAAGCCAGTTACGCATTCAGTCACCTCTAACGATGATGAATGAAGTCGAATTCATGGCGCAACCATCAGAGATTGATCAACGCCGAGAGCTTTATCCTTTATTCACGGTTACTTCCGTTCCTCTTCCCCTGACATCAGTAATACTCTTCAACGCCTTGACTCTTAAGCACTTCTGGATAAAAACTTCATAGAATAAGGAAAATCCTTCCATGAACTAACGCGGAAAACTTCGTACCGTCCTATGTTCCTTGGGTGTACTATCATGGAAATTTCTAGTGTCCAATGAGTAATCCTCGTCCGATATTCCAGAATCAGTCACAAATGACGACGGGGAAGAACTGAAATTAATCGTTTTTGTCAATATAAACTTTCAAGTACAAACAAATAATAAAACAAGATCTTAACGAGGAAAAAGTACCAGTTATGGTCGAAACCACAGAGGATGGGAAAAGCATTCCCAAATCTCATTAAAGCTTCGCCAATTACAAAACCAAGACGGTTGCACTACTACGCCCAGACGGAGGGTTACAGGTTCCAGAAAGGCAATGGAGAAGACTGTTCGCAATTACTACTCGAATCTTTTCAATAGTAACGTCCAACTACCCTCATACGAAATATAGGAAGATGAATATGTCGTTCCACCGGTTCTACCAAGCGAAATCCGACATCCTACTTCCGAGGTGAAGAATGAAACAACGCCAAGACAGGGACTGAACTCTTGAAGGACCTTCTGCCAATCTTCATAAACAAACTGGCTTAGCTCTTATCTGTCAGAATGCAAGGTTGCTAGTCTATGGAAGACCAGCGAGACCCAGCGAGACGGTGTTGTCCAACAAGAGTGACCTCCACGGGATGTCCAACTGTGGGTCAATCTGCTTACTGTCTGCAAGCTTTTCACTCAAGTCATCCTAAACGGGATTGACAGAACACTGGAGGGAGGACAGTCATGTGAGCAAGCAGGGTTTTCAGAAGGATTCACTACGATGGACTACATCCACGCGATGAAATAACTTAAGTACCGCGAGAATACAGGAGGCCGGTCTATCCCACTTTAGTCGACATAAGGAAGGCTTTTGGATAAGTTGAGATAGAAGCAGCCATGGAGGCTCTGAACAATCAAGGCATCCCTACTTACTATAAAAAAACTTCATGAGCACTACAAGAATTTCACAGCCAAGGTGTCACAATTCTACAACGATATTAACATTGACGTCAAAACGGAGTTAGGCAAGGCGATACCATCTCGCCAAAATTATTTACTCTCACGCTCGAAAACACGTAAACATTGGAAAGGTACAACATGAAAATGAGTATCGACGGTCGGCAATTACACTATCTTCGCTTTCCTATTATATCGTCGTTATAGTACAAACATTAGTCAAGGGAAACGAATGCTTTCCCACTTTGATAACGCCTGTGAAAGATTGGCCTTCGACTAAATCTCACAAAAATTATGTTTATGGGGAACGGATTTGTTTCGTATGCCCCGTTCACGCTCAACGGGAAGATTGTCTCCGAACGCTCCAGTTACGTCTATCTAGGTCGGGAAATCGACATAATGAACAAATTAGCTCCAGAGTTTAACACGAGAAGGCGAGCGGCATGGAGAACTTTCAAGCGCATTTATGTTGTTCTGAGGACAAAAAGAGCATACGACTCCGTCCTCACCCTTTCGACTCCACGATTCTTCCAGCCTTAATGCATGCGTCAGAAACATGGTTGCTATGTGATAGAGGCGAAAGAGTGAAAGACCGCTCAGCGTTGTAGACCACACAGTCTAAATGACGATGCTAGGAGCAACCCGTATTACGCAATTGAGGGAAAGGATCCAAAACTCTGACCGACGTCAACGATCGAAAATCAAAGACGCCGTTCTCCACGTCAAAATGTCGAAGGGCCGGACAATGCGTCCGAACGTCAACCGTTGGAGAACAACCCTTAGTGACTGGATCCCTCAGATGTCAAACGCATAGCAGTAATGCCATCGTCCTGATGGTAACAACTCTTAAGTAAAACCCTAGAAGAAAGTTATGATCATAAATGAATTCTTTAAGGAAGCAAAACTCAATGGGCTACTCTTGGAGAAAACAGAGAGGAATGGAAGATTTACTTTCACACCCTCTCAAGTCGCTCGAAACGGATTACAGGTGATGTAGGTGATAGGCGAAATGTATTAGGTTTTTGGTAATATTAGGAAAACAGGTCGAACACAATCTATATCATTTATATTTGGATGATCCAAATTCGTGTGCCATGTGCATCCTATCACTTTCCTTATTTTCCTGGTAACCTGTTAACCAGAAGCCATGTAAAGGTTCGAGACGTTTACGTTCTGCTGCCAAATGTGGGCTTAGTCTTCTTCATGAATGTCGCTGAACGCCGGTCGAATTGATTCTTCCTAGAACTCTATGATAGCTCTATGAGAGCCTTCCCATGTTTTCGCTTCAAAGAGCGCCTTACCATTGTCGATCGCAAAGAGTTTTTACAAGAAAAGTCTGCCTCCAATTTACTGATCATGGAGAGATGGGGAACTAGGTTTGCAGTAGAACCATCGGCCACGCGTATAATATTGCTGAACATCTCCAATCTGTGCCAACCACCCACTCATTGCCTTTGTAAACAGTGTTTGAAAAATAGGACATTTCGTTCGATTACTTCCGCTGTAGAAGAAAATTATTCTAATTTTCCATTGAAGAACTTCTTGTCTTTTGAGTTAAAGTTTCCATGTGGTGAAATGGCGAAATTTCTTTAGTTCATGGAAAGGATTCCTACCTAGCAATGGACTTCTCAACGACTGATCTTTCTGCTCGCAGCATAGAGCTGACTTTGTTCGAAACCACCTCCTCGGATTCCGTCTGAAAAAAAATTGAAGTTAAGAACCTCATGCTCTCCCTGCAAATGAAACAAAATCTGCTCACCAGAAGAGGAGGAAGGCTTCTGTCGTGGGTGAAATTTTCCTTCGACATCGTTTCCATACCAGACAATGGTACAGCGTTTGGAATTTGTGTAACCTACAATAATTTTTTGAAAATCACTTCGATAGACTTTAACGTACTCGCTAGGGCGGGTGTGACGCAGTGGTTGGAGGCGGCTTTGCGACACGCGTGGAATCGACCTCTGCGCCCATGGCCCACCAAGCCTTTCATCCCTCCGGGGTCCGCAAATTGGTACCAGACTTCCCTGATAGAATAGCAGCACTGGCTCGATACATCGACAGGCCACCACTAGTCATTGTAAACTCCAAATATGCATTCAATCACCTCCAACAATACTTAATGAAGTCAAATGCATGCGCAACCTTCAAGTATAATCAACGCCCAGAGCTTCATCCTTTTTATTAGCGCACTCACCAAATTGTTCTTCGTTTTCTTCTGAAACATTAGCGTGTTCAGTTGAAGGAAGTGGTCAGGTATGGCTGAAATGTATGAAATTGATGGCTTAGATGTTTCCTACAAAAATGACAGAGACAAACTGCTTGGATCCTTGAAATCCACCACAAAGCTCTCGTGACGCTTCAGTTTATCATGATGAGTTGTTGACGCTTCCTTCAAATAGCTGTCCTAAAATATTAGCCATCGGAAGGGTACAGAAATCAGCAGATGACACTCTAGAAGATGAGAAACACTGATCGTTTCCTTCAGCTGCTGGTAGAGAAGCAAGCTATGTTTAGCTCTACCCGCTTCTAACAATGTGGACCTTAAAGTGGATATTTGGCGAAACGAATGATTTCGTAACTGAGAAAGGATTTTATTTCATCTTCAAACCGGAATTCCTGTACTTTCGAAAACCGCCTAAAAACTCAAGCCAGAGGAAGTTATATGCCTTAAAGTGCTTGTAAAAACTAATGATATCATCCCTAATGACAGTCAATTCCGTATAAGCCAAACTTGTCTGAGTAATTTCAATCCTCCAGCGATATTGAAGGTGAAATATTTAAAAAGACAATTAAGATACATGTACGGCTTCTCGTTTCAGCAGTTGATGACACTCTTAAAGGAGTGTCTGAACTGCTCAATCTTCAGATGGTCCGGGAGGCATTACGCACAAATGAGAGGGCTGGCAATGGGACAACGACTGGCTCCAAGCCTTGCCATTGCATTCATGTCTAAGGTGGAAGCGTCAGTAATCGACCTCGGTCCGTTACTCTACTGTAGATAAATAGATGACTGCTTGGTCATTTGTTCAACGCAAGAAGAAATCGACAGATGTTTCGAGTTGTTGAACACACAGTCAGAGTATATTAAATTCACCCGAGAGAAACCAAAAAAGGACTGGCTTCCATTTCTGAACGTGCAAATTAGCCTATCAGAAAACAGCTACATTACGAAGTGGTATCGAAAGCCAAGTAGGTCCCGTTTATACTGCCCTTCATTTCAAATGAAGTAAGTCGGGTAGACCACTCTGCGTACGTATAAAAGAACACCTAGTCGGTAAACGTAAGCCAAGTACTCCACTAGGTACGCATAGCACGCATAAACATAACGGAGAAGATTTTGAAGTAAGTGTTACGAACCTCGCGCATAAATCGAGAACACAAGCGCGCAAAACTCTAGAGGCATTCTGGATAAATTCCAAGAATCCGAAAATGAACCGCAGGGAGGAATGCCTCATTATCGCGAGTGATATTGGGCAGTATATAAGCCTGTTATTCTGATGGGAGGGGCACATTACGCTTCCATGTGAATTTGGTGCGGTCGGTCTTCACGCGACATACTCAGTGGAAGACTCATAGAAAGCGGTGAGTGTGCAGAGCTATTTTAAATGTGATTGAAATCTTGGTTTAGCGTTTTCTCTGTTTGGTTATGGAGGTGTTTGGCCGAGTGGATTGCCGTCAAGTTGACCCTTCCAGGTTCTGAGGAAGGCGAAATCCGCCGAAACGTCAGCTTGTGAGTAAATAAAGAAATAAAATAGCACCTCGTGTTTGCTGAACAGAAGTAGAAAGATATATACAATTAAGATATTTTTTCTACCCTTAATACGCTTCTATTCCTCATTTTTCAATGACTAATATAACTAGAACGTTAAGAAGATATCCGGTGCAGATACAAATTGGATTACATTACCCTTTTGTAGTTAATTTTCGAGCATATCGTTCCTATCTGTCTATCTAACAGTTTAACTAAAAACGCTAAGAAAGTGATTGGATAAAATTAACTAACGAAATGCTCACCTTGGCAAGGACGAAGAGCAGAAGTGCAAGAGCTACTATAGCCATTATCATCGATAACAAAGCCAAAACCACATTCAGTGTGAAAGCTGATAGGATGTCGGGTACTCGCATTTTCCTTAACAGAACTGCTTGAAACACGAAGAAAAGTGCTAGACGCTCATCGACTTACGAAAAAACGATATACAAGAAGGTTAGAAGAAGATCTTAAAATGATTATTTGCTCAAGCTGGATAGAATTCGGTGTAGATATAAATCTGCTTACAAGTTAAATTTTCTGAAATATTAGAAAACCAGATGCTTTTCTGAAGTTTCAAACACAAACGCGGCAGCCATTCATACAGAGAGCTAATCCGGGAAAACGACGTTTCTCGTTTCTCAACGAAATCCGAAATCAAAAACGGATTATTTGCTACACTGTTGGATACGGGAACGTCCATGAGGAATAAAGAACAACTATCATTCATGAGTTCAAATAATCAGATTTTCATCGGCGTAAAACATCAAATCATGCTCTTATTGGTGAAGATCTGCAAATTATAGTTAGTGGTTCTTAAAGACAAGCGAAGCGAAGGACCGACATAGGGTGGTGGTGAATGCGTTAGCTCTCGGAAAGGGTAATAGCGCGTTCGTTCCCAACTGCAGACACCTGCTGTCTGGAGTTTTGCAAATATCTCATCACCATTATGGTTGTAACACGCATAATACTCTGCAGTGAAAAATTGTAGTAGACAGTAAATCAAATGTTTACATAATGGTTTTTATTAAGATTCTCCCTTGTGATATATTCATTTAACACACTGGCGACGAGATAAATTACCTATAACTCACGCATCATCGGAAAAACTTCCAGAGGTGGGTCGTATATAACACTTATCCTCCGATTATTTATTTTGCGGCTAAGAAATTTCTTCCACATTTTTGTAACAATTCTATAGTTAGCCAATGAAAGAGAAGTCTTCTACTAAATGATCAACATCGAAGGCTGGGAAGCGTAATTAGCTCGACACATGGGATCGAACAAGCCAGCAGGTGTGTATTTCAGGGTACCTCTAACCATAAGGTTTCATGCAGTTTATTCAATACTATTCACTGCAAATTGTTGTGAACGTCATACAAAAATTTGTTTAGAGGATAATAACGGGTTCAATTCCTACCGCAGACACCTGTGGTCCGAAGTTCTGCAAATATCTTAACATCATTGTGGTTAAATCCTTTAAATTGTAGTAACTTTCTTTTCGCAGATGCTTTCTAAGGTGACTTTTATTGCATTATAAAGTTAAAAAAATCCAACAATTGAGTGAAACATGGTTGTAGAAGCGTTGTCATTCGTTTTGCATCGGACTCAATTGTCTTGACAGAGACGATGCATTACGGTAAAATATTGAACTGTTCCAACATTGAGCACTGAATTGACAAACAATAACCCAACTTCTGCCTTGTCCACAATTGGTGAAGGTGTGCAGACTTTGGAGAAATCACTTTAAAAATCATACGCTGTACCTCTCTGATACGACAGAGTAAGGACTTGTTCTCTCTAAAAAGCTCAACAAACTCACACTCAGTATAAGCTGACGTTCCGCCTAAGCTGCCTGTTCTGATTGTCGCGCTCTGTGTCAAGAACTTCGTCGTTATGATGTTCGACAGAATGAATCACCTCGCGTTCTGTGCATTCACAATCTAATAAAGCTACTTCACCTTTATCTTAAAAACCCCCTTTCATTAAACCTCGATAACAATAATCTGCAATCTTCTATATTTTTGAGTTGACAAGAGGTTGGCATAAAAACTGACATAAGCTGGCATAAAAAATTTATTCGGCTAACGCCTCGGTGCCCTGGTTTTCTTCAGGACCACTATGATCCGAGTCGATGGTCCGCAGCTGGTCGTTGTCGCGTCGAGTCGAATCTATAGGGGACTGCTAGTCGATTGCCGCCTCCAATATGATTTAGATCTATGTCGTGTTGGTTGTTAGTATTGTAGCAGTCAGTACTTAATTTGTAGGTACGTAGAGTGACAATCGGCATCTAAAAATCGACTCTGAAAAACTCTGAGAAAAGCGAAGGCGCCAAAACGCTAGCCGAATAAAAGTTTATATCGACATCGTGTAATCTTAATCATTTAAAAGAATTTTTCATTTACTGCCTATTTATTTTTTAATGGCAGGGTATGCTGCGAAATATAGCTTATATAATGCTGAGACGCTTGTAAAACTCCGGACCGCAAATGCTTCCGGTGGGGAACGAATGCGCTATTGTCCTTTCCGGGAAGTAACGCGTTCACCACCACGCCATACGAGTCATTCGTTTCGCCTGACTTTCAGCTAGTTTTACTGACCACTTGCCATCAGCATCCACCCGTCAGCGGGATTGATCTGGGAAGACCAAATCGGCATTGAACCCAGTTATGCTGAGGCTATAGTTATAATCACAATCTCAACCTTTTTATTTACTGCCTATTCTTTTTTTAATGGCAGTGTATGTTGCGAAATATATATAATGCTGAGACATTTGCAAAACTCTGGAGCAAAACGTTCTGATCGCAGAGATCGATAGAATTAGCTGAGAGACAGGCGAAACGAAGGACCCATATAGTGTGGTGATGAACGCGTTACTCCCCGGAAAGAATAATAGCGCGTTCGTTCCCCACCGCAAGCACCTGCGGTCTGGAGTTTTGCAAATATCTCAGCATTATATAAGTTACATTTATTGATTGCTGACACCGAGGTTTAATGAACGTTGGTTTTTAAGATACTGAATGCCATGCTACATGTCAGAAAACGAAGAATACGAGAACTCCATCACTCATCCATAATGAGGAGTTCGAGATATCAAAATAATGGCAACTGTCGAAGCATGTTTAAATATTCAAGGCAGGTGGACACATGAAGAACAAGGACGGTCTCATAAACCCTGAATCAAAGCGATAAAGCTCTCAGCGATAATCAGTTCCGGAGGGATGTCCCATGCATTCGACTTCATGAAACATCGTTAGAGGTAACTGAAAGCATTTGTAACCTATAAAATGGCTTCCGATAGCCTACGGATGTTTTGAGTCAGTGTGTTCTTTTCGCAAACAAATCTTGCCGCAATTTATCTACCTTGGGACCTGGGATCGACCCCGCGTGTATTGCAGGGCGCCGCTAACCATTGTGCTATATGTGCCCGAAGCCTAAATTACACCGACAATTTCAATTTCCCAGTTACATGATGAAATCACCAAATAACACCGCGGTGGTCTTTGTCACACAGGTCTTTTGTCTAGTTCCTTAAAAGTTATAAAAGTCGGCATCAAACATTTCCAGGTCGGTCATTATTTTTAAAAAAATTTATTTTTTTTTTGAAAGAGAAGGAAGAGGAGTTTTCAATAAATGGCTAAGGTGCGCAGTTCTTAGCATTTTCGCGTATTCGCTTTGAACGATTCTAACTTATCTATAGTAGCTGGAAAGTTACGCTTTTCTGCTGTCCAGAAAAGTCCTAATCTTCTTTCGCAATGCACATGACAGTTTGTGAAGTACCGTAGTCTTACTTGATACTTGACACTTGAATAGCCCATCCTCGCTGGCTGTGCGACTCCCAGAATAATCTCCACTTTTCGGAGATTTCCTGGTTAAGCCATTGTAGTTCTCTGGAATCCCGAGGTCATCATAGCCAAAGTTTGGTCAAGGTCTTCACCACCCCAGGCACTCGAATCCTTTGTGGATCAGAGGGAGATTTGCCACCATGCAACTTTGATACCAGGACAATGGTGGATCCTGGCATTGGTTTGCTCTTAGCTAGGCTTCCTGATGGAAACGCCGGACTCCTTCTCAGCTTGGGAGACCCTGCCAGGGAATGAATGCCCAACTGTACATTGCAGTCTGACACCCAGGAACACCTCCCAGCGGCAAACCCTTGAGAGGTACCGTAGTCGTGTAGGGCAAAAGCATGATAAGCGCGCCCGAATATGAAAGTGATCAAAGTCTTCAAATTCTTAATAAAGCTGAAACCTGCTCGACAGCCGACGTTACTCTACTCCCCTTCAAATTCAGAAAGTCGATTACTAGGAAAGTTCAGTGCCATGTAGATGAACAGTTTTTGATGCCACTGTACTCGAAAACAAGGAGTTGTTTATTGGCTCATCGTTCCAGTGGATTTCATAAAACAATATTAATTCGTAGTGTAATAAATAGTATTTATGATGTTCTAATGGAGTGCACGTTCTCACACATGATTTCCGGAACTTATAAAGATATCAGAATTTCAGATAATATGAACAAAGAGCAATCGAATCATATGTGAATATGTTCAAGATTCATACAGGAACGAGGAGAACTGAAATACATAATGTTTTCGACCATTTATGTGCCATTTTTAGATAAGCATCGGTGCCTGTGCATATCAAAATAGTTGGTCGTTCATCGCTCCACAATCCCCCAGACATAATCAATACCTATGGTTTGCATTATAGCGTGAACTAATTTTGTAGTATATGGCCACCTACGAACGGTACCTTGAAGGGTAAAGGATGAAGAATTAGGCGTTGATCAATTCGTCACGAATGTACTATGTATTCGACTCCATTCGTAACATCGTATAGACCGGTCAATGAATATTCACTAAGCAGAGTGACTTCCCGTGGCGTATCGATGTATTAAGATGGCATCATAATTCTCCCAGACAAATCTGGTAACAATTTGCTGTTCCCTGAAGGATAGATGGCTTAGTTTATCCTGGCGAAGGAACGAACCGATGATTACTTAAACAGTGGAGGGCACCCAGACCAATGTGTTGAAAGTAACAAATGGAATAAATACAAAAAGAAAATTATAAAGCTAGCTTGGGGTTATGATAAGAATCTGCGCTTTGAGTAGTGAAAAACTCCAACAGCGCTTAGGTTTCGGGCGAACAGGAAAAAAATTGTTATGAATGTTAACAAATACTACCAAAATTACAAGGTATAACTTCTTATTGTGCGACTACCAAAATATATTTGTTATTGGCCTTTGTAGAGACCAGAAACGAAGTCTTGGAACGTGCGTTGTTCTACATGGATACTTTGATTGATGAGGAATGGTGGATGTTACTGAGGACACTCGTTTTCGCTCGGTTTAGAAATAATTCGCACACAGAAAA